AAAACTAATTGGACAATGTTCGGTTCCTTACTAAAGAACCGTTTATGTCAGAACACTTTTCAATGTCGAAATAAAGAGGACATAGACGCCAAAGTAGAAATGCTCACAAGTGCCTTGGTTGAATCGTTCGAGCTGCCCTCTGTGAGAGCGGAGATCTGCCCAGGAGAAACCCTGGGTAACCGGGGAGATCCGGAACCTTGGTAAGACTCTTCGCAAACTATTTAACCGGGCACGGCGTAAAAAGACCGCAGTATACTGGGATGAGTATCGTAGTAAACTTGGTGAATATAAGAAAATTGTTCGTAAAGCCAAACGAGACTCCTGGAAACTTTTCTGTGAACAGGTGGACAGCGTAAATGACGTATCGAAGATAAAAAATTCCTATCCAAAACTCATGTCCAACCAGAATCTATGGTCGATGATATGGGCAGGAGGCTGGAGGATATGGAGGAGACAATGAAACTCCTAAACTTAAAACTTAAACTTAAAACTTTGGAACGGATAGTTCATAGTATGGTGAAAAGCAGTATACCCGACAAAGACCTAAAATTTAAGCAGCATGCTTATGTAAAGGGACAATCGGTGGAAACCGCTTTAAACGAAGTTGTCCACTACAAAGGTGCATCCTTTGATAGCAAACTGTATACACTCGCGGTATGCATTTACATCGAAGGCGCCTTCAATAACATGCACACTGATACTCTTATCCAATCCCTAGACCAGTTTTATGTTGACCGAGTGCTCCTAACTGGTTCAACCACATGCTAAGGAACAGATGGATAAGCTGCGATATAACTATCAGGAAAAAGGTATTTCGCGGTATACCACAGGGTGGCATTTTGTCACCTTTACTCTGGGTTACCACGATTAATAGCCTCCTAAGGACCCTAACTGAGAAAGGACTTAGACCTCTCTGCTATGCAGACGATGTCCTAATACTTTTAAAGGGAAAGGATCCAAATTACTTGTGTAGAAGAGCTGAGGTGGCTCTGAATACGGCCTTGAGCTGGGCTCAACCGAGAGGCCTCAATTTTAACCCGGCAAAAACGGAAATCTGTCTTTTCACAAGAAAGACAAAAATGTCTACGTATACTGAACCTTGCTTCCTGGGCAAGAAGATACTAGTGAAGATACTAGTTCGCTTACAGCCGAACGGCACTTTACTTTAGTCGTAGTGGCCAAAAGCGGTTATAGGTCACGTCGTCAATGTATACTGGACACATTGGAAGGTTATACACAATCATCGGACGTGCCTGATCGTATACCAGATACAGAATATGTCGAAAACTTTGAAACGCTAATCCCAGATAGAATGTCTTGGTCAAGCGGAACATTAGAGCAAATACCATTAGGAATCCGTTGTTACACGGATGGCTCTAAATTGGGGGACAAAGCGGGGCTGGGTTTCTATATTGAAGACCCAGAAACAGAATTATACCACCGTTTAACAAATCATAACACAAGCTTCCAGGCAGAAGTACGAGCAATAACGGAATGCGTAAATTGGATTAGAATAAATATGGCGCCCACAGCGCTTAATATATTTACCGACAGCTAGAAGGCAATTAGGGCGATATCAGGCGATAGAACTAAATCTAAGACCGTATTGGATTGTAAGAAAGCTTTAACTGAATACTCTCCCAGGGGTAAGGTTCACATCATATGCCCACTCGAGAGTAGTCGGTAACGAAAGGGCGAATGTAATAGCTTTAACGCAAAACCATTCGACGCAACAAAAGCTGAACTAAAAATATGGGTGAGAGAATCCCATAAGGCCTCTTGGAATAATGAAACAGTGGGTAGAACCACGAAGATCCTATGGGGTGACCCTGATGAGAGCAAGACGAAAAATCTCCTCAAAATGAGCAAGTCTGAAGTTAGTATGATGGTACGTATTCTGAGTGGACACACAGCACAACGAGCACATCTATGCAAAATTGGACGTGCGGATTCAGACGAATGTAGAGCATGTGGAGAGGACAGTGAAACTCTGGAGCACTTTCTTTGCCACTGCCAGGCATTCGTCGAAGTTAGATCCAAGTATCTTGGAAGTGATGTTATTCCGGAAATAACATTCCTGACTAACACTGGTTGGAAGATTCTTAGGAATTACGTTCAGGAAACTGAGTTTCTGAACACTGAAAAATATTTTTTTTTTTCATGATAAGGAGCGCACAACAGGCCCGATAGTGGCCTAGGTGTATTTCTTCGGATTTCATGTAGTATACATCCTCCTATCGACGTACCTACCTACCTAAAGTTTCCGTGTGTGAATCGGCACAAAGCTAACTTTCTTCGAAAAACATAACTCTGCTGTCAAAGAAAAAAAAACCTAACTAAGCATGTAATACTAGGATTTTCTTTTGAAGTATTACCCAGCAGTTCGGCGGGATAGTTCCGAACTAACCACTTGACATACCACTTATGGTGGCCTCTAGCCACCCGACTGTCAAGAGGTAGTCAAAAATAATGGTTATTGATACGGGCAGCAACAGACGATTCTGTTGTGAGGCACCTTATGTTCGATCAATTTTTTAGAACTTGACAGGAAGTTTATATTTAGGTTGTTCATTTTTCTTCAAATGCGTTTTTTTTTTTTAAATTTTTAATGAATTTTTTATTACATTTAAAATTTTAAATTGATTTTTATTTTGATTGAAAAATAAACAAAAAATGAAATTTTCGAAATATGTAAATGTGGTAGCTCGATTTTTTTAAAATACTAACATGTCGATATTTTTATCAGGAGCCTAAATGTATTTGATGTATATAAATACATTAGAGTGACCGCAAAAAGTCGATGTTGGAATCTTGTTCTTAACCCCACAAAATGATTCCGCTTTCCAGATATTGAGATAGCCGAAATTTGAGCTCGATTACGTCGTCTCTCAAAGTGCCAAGTGCTTTAAAGGGTTAATTTTATTTTTTTTTTTTTGTTATTTTATATATTGGGGAACTTCTTAACGACTCTAAACGGCCCCAATTTTTTTAATTTTTTTCCATTGATAGTACTTTTAATATGGAACCTAACGATACTATTTTTTGGTTTGCTCTCTTATAGTTATGGATATAGACGTTCAAAAACTGTATATATAAAGTTAAAAATCTCGAAAATGGCTTGCTCGATTGAAAAAAATAACATGATATGAAAGCTCGTGGAAAGCCCATTGAGTGCCAAAAGCTAAAAAAGGGTTTTGAAACATGACTTTTTTTTGTAAAAGTGTAAATAGCTCGATTTTTTCAAATAATTTTTAAATTCTTTTATTTCATCCCACAAAGAAAAATTCCTAACAAAAAGGCAATTATGTATTTCAAAATTATATTTTAATAATAAATATTTTAATTGGTTGGGGTCTCCTAATATAAATAGTATATCGAATGAAAAAGTATGATTTTGTTAAAAATTGGTTTAAGCAAATCATATTTTTCAATTTAAATAAGAATATAATAACTAAACTTCCGAAATAAATGAATTAATTTAAAAAAAATATTAAAACTAAGATTTTAATTCAATAATTCTAAGGCTTTAAATGGGCTAGGAATTTGCAATGTACATCAAATGAAAGCTCATTCTATTTCCTATTCAATTCATATGTTGTGTTCATATCGTAAATTAAAGAGAAATTTTTAAATATGCATAAAAATCATAAATAAAAATAAAAATTTTCGAGATGACGCTCAATGGGTTAATGGATATCATATACATCGTTTGAAAGCTTTTCAAAAGCCCTTTCGAATGATATATAATAAGTAAAATTTGGATAGGTAATGCGGAAGATATTCTACATTATATTATAAATCATTAAATGTATGTAACTCCTAAACCAAATGAGAGCAAGAAAAAATTTTTACACCAAACAATTTTAAATTAAGTTTGCTGCACCTGGTTAAAATATTATGAAAATCGTAGCCGTTTAAAGTCGGTAAGTTATGCCTATATTGAACCATATACTATAAATTCCTGTAATTTTAGTAAATATTTGATATTATCTGGGAAATAATATTCCGTAAATGTTTTGTTTAAAATGTATAACAGTATATAATTAGTTTGATGAGTTTTTCGCGAAATTCGCAGAATTTAAATCGCAGGTACAGCTTAACTATAAGAGGTATTGACCTCATTTTTTCACTGTTTTATTCCCTAATCTATTGACCATAAATCCTCCGGTGATATTTCAAAAATTTTAAAATTTTTTTATCTAAGATTTAACAAAACTGAAAATGGAGTTTTGAAACCGCCGTGTAAAAAATTATTTTTTTTATCTTAGCTGAGACCAGGTTCACGATATATTTTAAGGACAAAAACTCATATTCGAAGAAATATAGATGTATTTTATGTAATAAAATAGTTTTATTAGAATATTTTCCAAAATAAGTTAAATTTTTTTCCACATTTCCTAATCAAGTGCTCTGAGACACTTTAATGGCCTGCAGAATTTTTAATAACATTTAAATTTTTCAACCAATTTTTGTGTTTTACATCCTTTTGAAATACTAAAACTATGTATATTATGATTCTTTAACAATTATATGTAAAATATTTACCTAATAGCACATTTATCACATAATATCTAAATGTACGAAGTATGCTCCTACCGCGACCAGGTCACGTTTTTGGAGACAAAATCTGTTGTGACTCTGTTTGACTTAAAGTAACAAGAATTATGTAAATAATATAAACTTTGAAGTACAGTATTAGCTTTGTTTTGAGGTACTAAGTGTGTTTCTATTATTTACCGTTCTGGAGTTATAGCTTCATATGTTAGCTTTTTGGCCAAAAATTTGGATTTTTTCAAAATTTTAGCGACGAGCGGCACATGTTAACGTCTATTAATCGAGCTCAAATTTCGGCTATCTCAATATCTGGAAAGAGGAATCACTTTGATGGGTTAAGACAAACAAGATTCCTACATTTTTTTCTCCCCATATAAGATCCGGTCAGTCTAATATACATCCTCCTTTCAATCTATCTAGCCGGCTTACAGTCAATTTTAGGCCGCCGCCACCGTTAATATTTGTCGGCGCAGGGCTCTAACTGCACGTTTTTGCCTTTCATTGCAAAAAACATCAATTTATTTTTTTTTTACTGAATATATATTTTTAAAAAGTATTTGTTGATACATATACATATATGTAAATATAATAAATTTAATCAAATATAATCAAAAATTTAATCTTTTGTATATAAATAGCAAAATATTAATTTGTGTGTGATAATTGTGTCTAGAAAAATAAGTCTCATGTGTCCTGTCAATTCAAAATATTGTAATATTCAATTCTCCAATATAGAATTACACATGTAGTTGGAAAAACTGAGTGTATTTTGTGAATAAATTTATTGGCCAAATTTTTTCCTAAAATTATCTTAGATTCCAAGAATATCTTATTCATCTATAGTTATCGTTGTGATTAATTGTGTGTCGAGTGCAAAAATTTACCACTAGCAATTTAATAAGGTCAGTTAAGCATGGATACATAATATTCTCCCTAACAGTATGTATATTCATTGAAAAAAAGAAATAGGTTCTAATAATTGAAACAGAACAACCTCATTTAGAAATTGCATTAAGCTATGTACATACATACATATGTATGTACGTATAAATGTACTACATACATTTGTATGTATGTAATTCAATGTCATTGCCATGGCACATGTTCACACGCATGTTGCTTTTCGTGTATATATTTGATACTAGTGCATGAACAATAATAAAGAAGTATAACATAAATAATATTGACCTGTTTATAATGTCCTAATATTGCATTAACAACAAATTCATTCAAAATTTACTACTTTTGAATCGATTTTTATAACTTAAAAATATATGTAGATGGAACTCATATACATATGTATCTCTAAAAATGAATATCATTCATTCCAGCTATCATTTTTTGAAATTTTTGATCACATTCGAGTCATTTATGACTCTTCAGCACGATTAAAATGATCATATATGCGCTCAATTTCTGATTATAAATGATACATTCGTCGAGAGAAAATGGTACCCTACACGCGACTCTTCTAAACGAGTCTTTTATGAGCACCATTTCTGATCAGTTCTGACTCATTTTTTAATCTTTTTTGAGTCATTCATGTGCCGACTTACTGGTCGTTTTAGAATTATTTTCGAATCATATTTTAGTAATTTTTGAGTCTTCTGAGTAATTTTTATGTTTGTTACAGACAAATACATTACAACAGAACACTTTAAATTTTAAACAATCAAATTTCGAACACCTGGAAGACCGATTTGTGATTGGTGTACATTTTGTTACTGTTTTTCAAATTTAGCATATAAAATTATTATAATTAAAGCATAATATTTCCTTGACAGAAAATCGACTTTATAAATATCACACAAATTGAAATACTTATACATTTAATTTTATAAACGAAATGAGAATTACATCAACTTATTTTAGGCCACACAAAATTGTTTGCCATTTTGTAATCAGTTTCGACTAATTTTTGAATCGTTTTTGAGTCATTTTTAAGTGTAAGTGTTGCTATTCCATTGCATACAAAAACAATTACATAAGAAACAATTTTTGATCTTCCAACTGCTCGAAATATGATCACAAGTTTTTAGTTTTTAAAACCATCATATTTTAAACACCAGGATGATCAATTTATGATTGCTATACATTTTGTTATTGTTTTTCAAAAATCAGTTTTCAATCATATATCGGAATCATTTTCGAATCATTTTTTAAGCGCACAAATTATTAATCACATTTAGGTCATCAAAAGGAGTCAAAAATGAGTCAGTTTACTGATTAATCATCCAACAATCTTCCAAATGCTAGCTGGGATGATAAAGATAGCATTTTTTTTAATAGCAGTGTTCGCGTATTTTCCAGTAAAAAAATATCCACTAACTTTATGATAGAGAGTAATTTTTAATTCACTCTCAATCAACAAAATGTCCAAAAAAGTAAAATTGCAAGTTTTTGTTTATAAAAGATTAGTAATGCCCTATTGCTGAAATCTCAATCGCTAACAAAGCACCAAAAACAAACAAAATATAATTTTTCTTTTAAATTAAAGTATATTTAAAGTTAACAAAACATGTAATATCATTAAACATATATTATTGCTTTAAAACTTGGTGTTACACACATATTATTAAAATAAAAATTTACACAAAATCGCTAAGAGAAAGATACTCTATATTATGACAATATATATATAATATGACAATACGTCTGTTCGCTGTCTGTTGTACTTTTCAGTAAAAAATATCCAGTAACTTTATGATAGAGAGTAATTTTTAATTTACTTTCAATCAAAAAAAAAAATATCCAAAAAACGCGAACGCAAATTTGTAAAAAAATGCAAGTTTTTGTTTATAAACAAAGATTAGTAATGCTGTTGCTGAAATCTCAATCGCTAACAAATCACCAAAAAAACAAACAATTGAAACTATGATAAATGGATATTTAAAGTGACATGTAATATCATTACAAATATATTATTATTTTAAAAATTCATGTTACAAACATACCTATTAGTAAAATAAAAATTTACACAAAATCTCTAAGAGAAACACAAACTAAGTGGTTTTAAAACGCTAGATTGACAATTTATTTAATATAATTTTTATATTTATTGTATGAAATTCACGTTTCCCTTAAATCCTAAGAGAATACCAAATTATTTTGAAAATTACAATTCCTACAGTAGAGTTCCATTGAGTGAATTGTCTGCAATTTTTATGCAGACAATCTGACAAATTTATTAGAATTTAGGCATGTATTTAAAACGCATTAAATAGAATAACTACTGAATAAATCATTAAAATATCCCTTCTTCTTGAACAACAAATTTGTTGCAGGGTATGTATGTTATATTTAAAATTGTTTTACAAAATTTTAACATCTTCAATGCTATATTTAGTAAAATATTCGAAAAAAGTAACATTCAAATATTATTAAAATATTCGATTAATCGACAAAAATTGTTCGAATTATTCTTTATTCTAAACTGGAAATTTTTTATTCGTTCGAAGAAAAACAAATTTTTTTCCTCGATTAATCTTAATTTTTATTCGAATGACATCAATATTTGTAAAAATATGTATGTACTTTTAATAGGTTTCTCGGTTTTTTTCAGAATATAGAAATTATACAAAATAGTTTGCTTAATTATCCTTTTTTTAGCTACACAAACATACATTTGTACTATTTAAGAATGTGAAATACAGATTTTTCCTCTTTAAAATTTTATTTATATTTTTACGCTAGATGGGGGTTTTTGTGTTGGCAATTAAATGCCAATTAATAATCAGATTAGTTAATCTAAGTTTACTCTAGTGTTAATCCCATGTAATTGATGATTTTGAGCACAAGTTTAAATTTTGCAGTGTTACCATAAACAGCAGAAAATACATCAGTTTGTAATAATAACAATGCACAGAAACTATTTCAGTGTAATATGAAAATAAATTAAAAATGAGATTATTTAAAAAATTGATTTTATGATGACCTTTTAAGTACATTCCGTCACCTAAAATGCAAAAGGGCATAACAACACTTTTCAAAATTTTGCAGGAGATAGTGTTTAAAAAAATTATTTTTTCACAATAGCATCTAACAACAATTATATATTTATTTTTTGACGAATAAATAGTTTTTTCAGACTTTTCTAAAATCAAAAGGACGTATCAACGGTTTAGTATGTTGTTAGGGGTAACCCTGTCAACCACTTTACAATCTGGCATTCTTAATTAGGTTTAGGTTTATGCCAAAGAATAATAAGAAGTTGGACATGACATTGTTTTACAACAATAACATATCCTCTCCACACAGACGAGTTTTGTGTGAATTCAACACACAGGTGAAAATCCGAAAAATATATACCTATTTTTTAATTTTTTTGACAATTAATTTTTGAGGAATTTAAATAAAACTAGATAAAACGAAGTTGTAAATTTGAGTAATGAAAATGGGAAATAAATTTAAAGTATACATAATATTTTGGAAATATGGGAATAAACAAATTGAAAAATGTATTTATTAAATGTTTACAGATTAACTATGCAATAAAAAGATTAAAAAACCTATGAAAATATAAATATAAATGTTCTATATTTTTCCTAAACATTTTAAGTACGTTTTTATGCAACTTTGTAGGTTTGGAATCAGTGGTGAAAGTGGTTGGAGTTACAACACTTATGCTATGTTTCCACTGAGGCGTTTTGAGCAAAACTAGTTGATTTGTCCAAAACTAGTTGAAATCATGTAGATTTCCCATACATTTTTGACAAATCCAAATCTACTTAATCTACTAGATTTGATTTAAAACATGTCGAAAATGTATTTTTTCGAACAAGACTTGCTTATACAACACTGCATTGTGTCTAGGATAAGCAAATATAACTATGGCTATCCATTCAAGTTGAATGTTTTCATCGATAAAGTGACTTTTCATTTCGAAATAAAAACACAACAAATTATAATTTTAAAATTAGTGGCATTTAATAAACAAATTTATACTTTTACAACTGTAATTTTGTATTTTTAATGTTTTAATTCGAAAGAAATTAACATTATTGTCGTTATATCAAAATAAAATGACGGGATTTGTTCGAAAATTCGAATATCAAAAACTAGTAAGCTCAGTGGAAACACCTTTAAGAGGTTTAAGCAAATCTAGTAGATTTCAAGCCAGCGGAAACATAGTATTAGTTTAAGAAGGGTTATAGACCATAGAAACAACGGTGTATATCCACTCGGACACTATAAGGTCCATTGTGATTCCCAGCGTTGCAAATTTAGCGCTTTTGGCGATAGATTACCGCCTTTTAACAACCAAAAAGTCGCATATTTTCTATTTAGCGCTTATTTGGAAAAAGGCGCTAAATCAGCGCATTTTGCCTATTTTGTTTTTGAAGAAATAAAAAATCTTTTTAATATCATAAAATTATTCTAGTGGGGCAATATAGATAAAACAGAATAATTTTGGACAGTATTTACTTAAATAAATCGAAGATCTTTTAGTGCGGTGAGTTATTTCAAAACTTAAATAAAAAATATTCACTAATAAAAGAGAAATTTGTGTTCGCTTTAAATTTTCATATCCTTCGAAGGGAAAATTGATTTTGTGAATTGAATTGATTATAAAATTCTAT